AAGATACTTTGCATAGCAGGAATGACTTCATCCACAGCTGACTGCTGTCTCTAGCCTCTGAGCAAAAGGAAGTTCTAGTATAGGCCTGTACCATTTACAAGCTTCATGATTTGCTGCCAATTTGTAGAAACCAAAGTAAACTTCTGGCAGGACTCCTACATACCATAGTAGTTAAAGAAACTATCGTCCCACCCTGATTTTGACTACAAGCCTTGAAAGATTAATCTAATATTTCTTTCTAGCCTCCTATTCTCTTTAGCTAATAGAAGATTTAACTGAAGTTTTAACTTCAAAAAAAGTCATTTTGGGAAGTGCCACTCTGGTTATCAACAGTCTCTTCATAAAGCCTCAGTTATTTTTTTTCTCATTCAATTTTCCTCACTAATAAGTCTTGGCAACAGAAAGCATTCACTACTAATTAAAAGTGAAAAGCTAGCAAACAGACCCAGTACCCCAATGCGTACAGCTCCGTGCAATGCTGCCCAGAGACACCTGCTTATTTTTTGCAGAACTTCTTTTTACCCTATGATTCCATCCCTTAACATTGGGTTACAAAATGAAACAGAATGAACTAGACCATTTCATGAAATGATAGTGCATTTATATGTCCCCACCTTTACTGGAAAACACAAATGTCCATTATGTAATGTTATTCAGTTGCTATAGCAGGAGGCAGGAATCAACTGAATTGATCCTGCACATTGCAAAGTCTTTGTAAAGTATGGCTTTCAGAATGCTCCCTGGTTGTGGTTACCTCAACTTCCAGGCACAACTTGAGATATCTAGTGCCAAATGACCACATACACTGGATAAGCACAATTCCTGTCCTGATATCTGAAGACACTTTAGACACCTAAAAATATAGACAGACTCCCATCAGTGCTTTTCATTGCCTATGTAGATATTTAATTTTTGCTGAATCCAGTGGGAATTAGGGAAGGATCAACAGACTCACAATCTGAAGGTAATTAGGTGCTGCTTTCCAGGCTAAGTGTATCTGATAATTAGAAATACTGAGCCTTTAAGCAGTTAGACAGCCAAGTAACCTTATACTGAAAGCATGTTCTGTCACCTCTGTGTCCAGCAGCTGATTCTACACTGACAGCTGATGAAGTGCTGTGCCTACCCTCCTACCATCACATCTCACCTCAGAACCTAGGGTCTGAGTGTTTTCACCTGAGACGTAGGGTCAGAAAGTTCAAATCCTTCATCCCTGGGAGAAATGAATCTGCCCAGTGTTATCTTACATATAAAACTCTAACTAGCAACAATACAGAAAGCAGCCTTTCTTCTCTGGACATGCTTTGTAAAAAAAAATTGATGGCTTTGGTAGTTAACTAAATGAAAAGATTCATCTGTGACTCCCAGCTGGAGATCATGTCACTCCTTGCAGTGCCAAAGATGGCAAATCCCTGAAAAGGCAACTGAACTGGGAGACCTCTGAGTGCATGCCTCACCATGTTCCAGCTCTGGGGACAGGAGCATCGTCATGTAGATGAGCCAGGGTGAGTCCCCAAAGTGTGTTTGTAGGACAGAAGTGGAGAGCGATGTGCTGTGATGCAAACTGGCAACTCAGCTGAGGGCCAGACTGACTGTCACATCTTTTCTCAAAACTCCTTGGAGGCTACTGCCAGCAACTGCCCACCTATCACAGTCAGTTCCATGGACAACAGTTGTAGCTGCTTGGGGTATTATCATACAGTCATCTTATCTCAGTAAATCCAGCCTTTACAGTAAGAGGTTCAGGCCATGCTTCATTTTCCCTATTTGTGCCTGTCTAGTTCTCCTTTGACCTCAGGCTGAGCTGAATGAGGTACCTACTTTACCTGGCTGAAAATGAAATTCATTGTTGCTAGCACAGTTTTCATCTTTATTAGTTCCCTACTCTGGAGAACTACATGATGATTTGGGAAAGACAGGAGGAATGAACGAACACGCAGTAAGGAGTAGAGGTCACCAGCCATTTGAGGTGACCATGTAACCACAGTTTTGCTCTTCCAGTATCTTTGTATGGGTCCATAATTCAGACAACCAGTTCAAAGCTAGGGCTGATGCTGAAGTGGTCAGCCACACAAATTAGTTGTTGCAGCAAAATGAGTCGCAATGCCTACGGGCCCTGGGCTGCAATTTACAGTCTTATGTTCATACTCTACTTTAGGTGACTCATACTCTTAAAAACCTTGCTAGCAGTTCTGAGATTTATCATACACCAAAACAGAGACTTCTTTTATTACCTACCAAAACATTTATAGCACATTTGCTGATTCTAACTTTTTGACACCAATGACAGCCCACCTCTAAGGCTAAAATAATAACAGCACGTGAAATTCCTCAATTAAAAAAAAAACAAAAAACAAAAAAACTTTTGAAAGAGCAAGAATTTATAGACTTTTTTATTCATTCCTCTGTTTCAATGAATGTGCGTCTTCAGAATATGTCCTAAAAACTTTGATGTAGCATAAGCATTTTCATTACAAGCATCTGGTTCTGAAATCTTTGGTTTGTCACTAACTTAACTGAGTCAATACAGCCACTGGGTCTTTCAACCATTTGTTCCACATTAGTGTTTTCTTCCTTGCATAACTTAAACTAGTCTGCACGTGCAGAATGTTTACACATTTCAAAGCAAAGGGTGTTATTGAATTTATCTATATATTCTCTCATGGTACTCTTGCTTCAGGAGATTTCTAGTGAAGAAGAGGCAGCTACGATTCAGTAAACTGAAATTCTGTATGAAAATAGGATGAGAAAGATATGCCTAAGGGGCAAAAGGGGAAGAAACAGTTCTTGCATGTACTTGTTTCTACACAAAAATATTTGGCAATAAGCAAACAGCATCAAATAAGAACAACTGAATGAGAACAGATGCTGATTGCAGTCCCAAATAAATAAACTATTATTACTATTCAGATCAATACCGACATACTATTTTTTATGCTGAACAGGATTTCTAGTCATGTATATATGTATATTTATTTATATGTTTTTTAAAGAGTTAAATCCTCACAGGTTTCATATCTCAGCCTACCAGAAAGGATCAGGCTGACTAACCAAGCAAGTATTCAGCAGAATTTGCCTTAGTTTTCATATTTATTTCATATAATGAAAGCAACTATGCAACTATGACAAGTCCTTGAGACTCACTGTAAGATGAGTGCATGTATATGTAACTGGCAGCTATGTGTAATAGGGTCCTGTTGTTCAGCATGTTTATGTATTTTCCCTCCTATATTGACCAGAAGAGCATTCTCCCATCAAAGTGTGGTCCAGCATTGCTCCAATTGCTTCTTCCAGTCAAGCCAAGGCTAAGTTTTCTGTTAACTCCCAGTGAGTTAGCTCACTCTTGCTGTATTCTTCTGGAAAAAGTTTGTGAGATTGCAAGGGAAAAAAAAAGAAAAAAAAACAAAACCTCTACCAAAACCAAACAAAAATAAAAATTAAAATTAAAAAACAAACAAACAAAAAACAACAACAACAACCAAAACATGTATCCAAAAGCATTTGACGTCTGTAAAGCACAAAGTTTCACCTCCTGTATTCTCTCTTCTGTAAGCAGGTAATATCAAATGCTTTCCACAATAAAGAACACTAGACCTCAAGGAAACAATATGTACATACAGCATGTTGACAACTAGAAGGATCCCCTTCCTCTAATACATGTAATTCCACAGAAAGGAATGCCAAGTTGTCATGGCTTTGGTTGTGACAATAGTAATTTTCTTCACAGAGGCTTGTTTGATTCTGTGTTTTGGATTTTTGATGAAAATGGTGCTAACATTGATGTTTTCAGTTCTTGCAGAGCAGTGCTTGCACAGAGTCAAACATTTTTTCTGCTTCTTGTGCTGCCTTGCCACTGAAGAAACTAGGAATGCAACAGGAGGTAAGGGGACACAGCCAGGTCCAGACTGACCACAGGGATATTCCATATCATATGACATCATGCTCATTAATAAAAGATGTGGTAAAGAAGGAGGAAAAGGGGGACATTGGGAGTGATGGCATTTGTCTTCCCATGAAGCCACTACGCATGCTGAGCCCTGCTTTCCTGGATGTGGCTGAACACCTGTCTCTCAATGGAGCAGCAAATGAATTCCTTGTTTGACTTTGCTTGTGTGCCCAGCTTTTGGTTTGTGAACTATCTTTATCCCAACCCATGAGTTCTCTCACTTCCACCTTTCCAATTCTCTCCCCAGTCCTACCCTGAGAGAGCTCTGTGGTACTGAGCTGCCTGCCGGGTGAAATCACAGCACAAGTACCTAGTAAAACAACTTTACCAACTGCACTCAGAAATACCCATGGGGACAGAATGGTGGCCCTCTTCCTGAGCTCAGGTCTCCCTGTGAGTTTGTCCCCAGGACTTCACAATAGTACATCCAAAGAGCAGAGCTAGAATGACAAATACCAGGAAGTGCTTTGAAGGAGAAACATATCACTCATGCTGATATATTCAGACAGTCACATGACACAGATATCATAACTAGGCAGAATTGCTATTCCTGGGTTTATATGGTTTCTAGCAAATTCCTATGTGTAAAATCTCCATGAGGTTAAGACTGAAAGTATTAGAAAATATTAGAAAGGTAAATCACCACTAACTTTTTTTTTTCTTCAAAACTCAAAGTCTATGAAGTTCAAGGAAGTCAGAAGCCAAGACAGTTGTCACACTTAACAACCTGTGAATAACTCACAGAAGTAGTATCTAAGAAAGGTAAGAGCCACCACCTTATATTCTGCATCCCAAAGGGATTGAAAATGTTTCCTTTCATGCACCCAGAACTCTCAGACTAATTTTTATGTGGTTTTGGATTGCTCCAAATGCATTCAGAGAGTAAGCGTCATGCAGTGTGCATGGAAGAGACATAAATACATATTTCACAAAGATTTAAATACAAGTCATGCTGCCTTATGAGGATTCAAGTTTTCCCGGCTTTCACAGCAGAACTTGTATGCTCTACTTGAGGAACTACATTGAAAGTGTCATGAGTGTCATAGTGCCTTACTTGTTCTCGTTGCTGGCATCATATCGAGGCATAGGGTCAAAATCATTTCCATTGACATCAAAACTGGCCTGCGAATCCTGTAGCCAACAGGAGAAATAAAACCAGTTTCTCATTAATTAGTCATTGAGTCATGTAGCCTATACATTCTTCAGCAGGTTTGTACAAGAGAGTCATTAGGTTAACTAACATTCCTGCGGTTTTATGATGATTGCATTTTTTTAGGAAAGGATTATGTATTTAATAATTACGGGATTTACAGATTTTATTTTACCCTTGGAAAAAGGAAGAGAATAATGAATGCTCTGAAAAGCCATAGTTCAGTTGCATAGAGGAAATAGAAAGTGCAGTTTCATTAAACCAAAAAAGCTTCTAAGAAACTTTTGGAACTTCAGAGAGTTCATTTTCAAAACTGGGATTTCGCTAAATGTTTCAAGATTCAAGAAAAGTTATCTGCAGCATGATGACTGAAGTTTCAGGAAACAATATAATTTTCTTAAGGATATTAATATAAAAAATACAGCTTCAAATGCAGCATACATTGAATTCCTATTTGTTTGGGAGTGTAAATGTTTCAAATATATTGAAGGTATCTGCACATTTCTACTTCAAATTTTAACAAGATTCTTACAGCTGAAAATAGTTTATAGAGTAAATGTCTGATGGTTTGTATGGCTTCCATTAATCCATGTGGTAGCATGCAGTGTGTTGACATGGCAAGCAGTTCTTTTTAATCTCTTATTTTTTCAAAACCAGTTACCACATCCACCTCAAATATTCCTGTTTGCAGCCACACCAGCAATAATCTGACATATAGAAGGCATTTGTCATCAAACAAGCAATGTGTACTGCTTTGGGGGAATTCCTTCTTGGCGTGAGGAAAAAGAGAGAGGAGGTGGTATGGGAATAAATAGCTGCTTTAAATTCAGTGGAAGGACAGTACTGGGATGAAGTGACAATCTGGGTCATTCAATGATGGGCTAAAATATTTGGTTTGTTTAAACAACTTTAAAGATTAAAGAGAAGGATGTGGCATGCATTAGGATCAGTCACATACTGACAAATAGGGCAACAGCCTGTCACTTCTATTTATGCAGTCCTCATGTATTTCAGATCTGAGTTCCACGTGCAGCATGGGGAAGGATGTTAAGTGTGGCTAATTTAAAATAAATGGCTTTAAACTGTGGAAAAGACTGTAGCTTTTGATGGGTTATTAATGATATTATTGTTGCCTTCATGTCTTAAATGTTTTGTCAAGATGGTATGCTACCTGGAAAAAAGCCTGTGTTGAGAATTTTTTTACAAGGCCTATGACTCTAACAGGACTAAATGTATATGCATGCCTTGTGCTGGTTATACTCAACACATATGTATTTGTTGTTTCCTTATCTTGTGTAAATATACAGCTCACACATGTCACTTCAGAGAAATAATAAGGTTGCCAAGGTGCCAAGGTCTTGTGCTTTTGGGTAATGCCTATTCCTGAAACTCAGGAAAAATCACTCCAGCAAGCATGGTTGTGACACTCTGAGCAACTTTAAGTTCAGATACAAATACAAGAAGTCACCCACTAGAAAAGGAACTTCTCTTCACATTATGCAGTCCTTCCAAGGTACTTTAAAACAATCATTTAAACATGATGAACCGCAAGCAAAAAGAAACTTTCTGATGGGACATGAAATACTGGACATGGTAAACAAAGGACACTGATCTCCTCTTATTGTAAACTGGAAAGGGGCTCACTGGAGTTTAGAAAGACTCATTATAAAGACCACAAAATATTCTACACCTCTTTTTAATTGAGTTATAACCTTTTCCTTTAATATCATTTCCAGCAATAACTAGCTTTAAAAATGAACACATAGAACAATACATCTAACATTACAGCCTTTGAGACAAGAGCTACTGTCTTGCTAGCTAAATGTATTTGTCAAAAACAGACTTCAGCTGCTCACATTAACTGGAAAGCAGAGTATTACCATTCCTTAAGTTCTGCAAGTGTGAAGATATTAAGTAAAATAATTGCGGAGAAGAGGAAAAATATCTGTTTATTGGTCCCAGTCCTTCAGAAACGCAGTACTCAGCTACACAAGGCATCTAGATATTAAAGACATTCTGGCTGAATATAGTCGTAACTAAAAGAATACAGACTATCAAAATTCATCTATTTTCCTTTCCAATTTGAGGAAAACCTTGCATGAGTCTCCTGCCTTCCCTCCTCCCTCCCTCCAATGAGCAGCAAATTTATTGCATGGTAATAATGCAGCAGCAAATCAGACTCTAGCAAACACTCACATAATTCTGCATCAAGTCTGGATGGTTTCTTTCAATGCCGTCATCCAAGATGGTGACCACAACATTTTTTCCAGTGTAACCTCTCTTCCAAGCACCTACTATATTCATATCTGATTGGCAATGATGAGTGTTATCACTGCAGTGCTGTGGAGAGAAGAGGAGATAAAAATGTTGGATGTAGCAGACTAGTGAGCAGTATGGGGTTGAGATATTATCCTACTTACATCAACATTACCATTTAAATTAGCACAAGCATATTGATTTGAATAGCAACTATACAAGATCAACACCTTCATTTAGAAAGAAATGAATAATTAAAAAGAAAAGCCTAATTGTATGAAAATTGTTTGTCCTGTTATTTTTTTTTCTCAGATTACTTTTCATGCTAAGCAATAGGAAAATGAAGCAACCAACCACAATAAACCACTAGGATCTGTGTATAAAATAAAAGGACTATTCCTGACTGTTAAGTGCCCTTATTTAAAATGTACATTTGAATTATTTGAGTTTTTTTCAGAAAAACAAACCATATGTGGATAAAAGGAGACAAAAGCCTGTACAGAAATGGCCACAAAAACAAATACTGCTTTTTGGAGCTTATGTGCTGCATAATTTCTTGACAGAATGTTTGGAAAGTAATCCAGATTCAATTCTATCTACAAAAGAAGACTTTTGGCAGGTTTTGTGCAGTATCAGCAGGAGATGAGCAGCAGTTAAGAACCTGTAACCAAAGACTGAAAAACTTGCAGCTGAAGGTGTCTAAAGAATTGCAGATAGTTAGACAGAGAGAAGTCTGTGATACAGCTTTCAGTACATCCACGTCTGGAGAAAAGAAAAGTTTAGGGTACTTTAAAACCAAAAGCCTCTTCTTTCTTTGACACAAATGCACCCAGATCACATGAAGTGATGTGGTGTGCTATGACAGTGAGACGCAACCCATGGGTGTCCATCTGCCCCACCAGCAGCTCTGGCCTGCAGGCAGAGCTGTCGCTGGTGAAGCAGGCCCATCAGCCCCCCTTCCTGTAGCCCCTTCCAGGCTCAGGCAGAGCAATGGGCACAAATAGGAGGGGAAAAGCAAAGGGTGGGAGGAAGGAAGGAAAACAGAGACTGACCCTGAAACTTGTATCGTAGCAACAGCATCCATGCGAGTGTGCTTGGCACTCACTCCCTACTCCACGGCCTCGTGCCCTCATCTCAGCCTGATGTTTTGGTGCCCCACAAATAGTAAGCAGTATGAACACATCCAGGGAGATGCACTTCACCTTGAGCTGGCCCAAACCTTTCCTCCTAAACATGAGCGCACTACAGGCTAACATGCAAACTGACATCAGGTTGCTATCACATCTTACTTTTCCTCCTTTTTCTCCCTTTTCCTCCCTTCCCCTGCACTTTTGTAAACAAACCATTGGATTTAAGAGTGGTCATTTGCTGTTACTAAATCAAAACTGCATTATTAGGTACTATATGCACATACATACAGCATACATTCTTCCTTGCCATCTTTTCCTTGTGCATGCAAACATCCACCTGCCTGCCTGACTCTGTCTATCCATCCACACACAAAGGCACTTGAAGACTTTCAGGGCCCTGTTCCAAAGAATGTACAGGCCTGGCTTAATGCTTTTGTTCTGTGTGCTGCTTGCAAATGCTCACACTGCTGGATTTATGGAATTAACTACAGTCAAAACTTGCCCTCTATATACTGAATGTAATGGTTGTACACATCAGGCTTTCTAATGTACAAACAGCAATATCAAAAGCATGTGATGCTTCCAGGTGCCTTTGTGCTTTTCAAAAGTGTTACTAATTAAGCATCAGAAAATGCCCACAAAACTGATGAGTATCATTAATCACCATTTATTGGTGTGAAGACAAGGAGACAAAAAGTGGAAGAACCTGCCCCCAGCCACAGAGCAAACCCAGGAGAGAAAGGCAATGTGCAATCAGGATTCCTGGCCCTGGCCTCCAGTCAAAGTAACTGGGACACTGCTTTGCCCCTTCATCCCCTTCTCTGAAATTCCAAATGATCCTTTGGATGCTTTTCTGCTCATTTTGTCCTCTCTTCATGGGTAATAATCTTGTTGTTTTGCTTCCCAGCCAGTCAAACCAGGCAGGATGAGCAAGCAAATGCTTTTTAATCCTGAAAGGGATGCTGGCTCTCTGAAAGCATGCTGGCTCTCCACCAGAAGATGACTACTTCTTCCATTAATGCTGTTGGCATGGCCTGTTGCCCTCACTTACCTCTCCTGAACTGCTGTTTGTGGTGGTGGCAGAAAGGAGTTAATTCATCAGCTGCTTTGCCACACACATGTAGGTGAACACAATGAAAGAGATATTGCTCACTTTAGCATGTGCTCTGTTAGCGTGCAAGAGATGTACCAGACGAAATTGATATTCAAATTACCTTGCTCTGCTCCAAGACTGGGCAGAAAGCTAGTCTAAACAAAATCTTTCTGCATAAAAGAAATTCCAGGAGTAAAGCAGGCATAAATGTGTGTGCCCACATAAAACTTTAGATCACAGCATACGTGACATACAGACAGAGAATACAAAGGCAGCGGAGATCCATCCAACTGGGAGTAGTTCAATAGCAGATGAGGTGTTCAGTTCTTACTGTTAATATATGTTACTTATCCTCAAGTGTTATTAATAATAACATTTTTTTTCCAGCTCTGTTCCTCACTGTTCTTTCTGCTTTTACTACTATTTTATCTATGCTTTTCTCTCCTTGTTCCTAGCTCTATTCTTCTCTGCCAATACTATCTTTTGCCAATTAATTTTTAGTTTTGTTTGATTCAACATCTGATTTCGGCTTCCCCAATTATGCCTTATCTCTGTATGAAGATTAATCTGACTGTGCACATTTCTCTCAAAGCAGTCAGAAGATTTGACTTTTATCAGGAACACTTCACATTTTAGAGAGCAATTACTCTTCCAATGCTATGTAATATTGTAGAGATACACCGTTTCACATGGAATACCCTCTAACATGCTATTACTTGGTTTCACTTGCACTCTTTCCTGTCACTTTAAAGTACTCTTTCCTTCAAAAACATTTATTGTAAGGAATTTTCCACTATTGAGTTCCATTCTATTTTTTTTTTTTTTTAACCATGTGCTGCTTCTTTACACCTACCCAACTTACATTGTCAGCTGCTTAACAGAGAGCTGTTTTTAAAGAATTTGGAAGCACTGTTTCAATTGATAGTGTTAGTCAAATAAAAAAGAATAAAATAACAGTCATGATAATAAAAATTATGTGATTCACGGAGATTGGATTTTATATCAGTGGGCATTTATTGAATTTTCTAGCTCATTTTCATTTTTTTTTCCTGTTCTCTCTTTTCAGAATTAAAAACAAACCTTGTCATATTAATGTATAAAAGCTGTGGGTTTGCAAGGTTTCTATTAGACCTTTTAATCTTTGAACTGTTGTTATCTAATTTTGAAGGGAATAGTATAAACCACACTTGAAATACAGAATTATGGAATAAATTTGTCTATGGAATTTCCCGCTCCTCCCAGCAGATAAAGTAATTCAGAAATTTCCTGCATTGGTACCATGACTAGACAACTGCAGTGAACTAGCATCATTTCAACATACATTGGTTTCATCTATTGCCTGGAGGATACCATCAAAATGAATAAACAACCTCTCACCCACTTACATACAGTAATTTGACTGAGATTTTTAAAAGCCTCTCAAAGGATGGTGTTTTTCTTTAGACTGTTTAATTGGAAAATGTTAATGATACTACTGTTGGTATTTAATAGAATCAGTCTGCAAGGGTGAAAGGCAGTTGAAGGACGCATAGGAAGGGAGGGACCTCTAGCAAAGAAAATGTCAGATACGGAACATTTCTCATACTTGAAATTCAATTACTATGAGTGTAAAAAGACAAAATAATCACTTAGGCATCTTTGGACAGACAATTTGAAAGCCTGCCTCTGCAATTAACAAGCAGACAAAACATTAGAAAGTTTTCTGTTTTGATGTATTAGACTCCAATCATTTTCAATGTTTTCAATGTTAGACGTGTGCTTGGATTCTCTTAACTATTTTGTGAAATTCTGTCTAAAAACTAGCCTGTAGTCATTGTATCATTATTTTAACATTTCCTGTGTGCTGCACTAATTTTGGTGGGCTTGGTGTATGTATTTAGGGATCAATAGCAAAATGGAAAATGGAAAATTAAGAATCATATTAATGGCCAAAACCTCTTGGAATTCCAGAACTTGAAATCAAATTAAAAGAACAGTTACTATGAAATTCTGCTCCCTCTTTTGCCTTGCCTATAAAAACAGTGTAGAAATAGAAATATCTAATTCTGTGACATCATGTCTTTCAGAAAAGATCTATTGTGTTCTCTGTAAGTCTTCATAAGGTACATTATTTTGATTTCCTATAGTTTTTGAGTTGTCAGGACTTTTTTTGACTATATATATGTATATATTCATATTTGATTATTAATATAGTAGGATGAACATAAATTATCAGCTTTTAACTTTAGTAGAGGAGTAGAGGAGACATCCTGATGCTATGTTCAGCTTATTGAGGTGCAGTGTTCTAAGTTAAAACTTGTCAATTGTTCTCGTTTCCTGAAAAAAAAAAAAAGAGGGAGAGAGAGAGAGAGAGAGAGAGAGAGAGAAAGAAATAATCTGTTTTCTTTATGCTTTTGATGTGATCCAATTTTAAAGGGAATGAAAGAAATAAGCAGAGAGGTAATCAGGAGACATGGAAAGGCAGGATACTTATTAAAATGGCTCTCGTAATGTTACAGAAATCATGACAACATGCTTTGAAGAGCATTATATCCTGAAGAACTGAAGTGATTTACTGAAATTACTTTTTGGTTTCTCTAGAATAAGCAGTTGAAAGCCACATTTTCTAAGATGACTATTAAAATACTGTTTCTTTTTAGAAGTATTTCTCACATTTTTTATTCTTTCATCACAACATACAAAAGGTGAAAGGATTTTTATAAGCAGAATGTATACTTGCATATTTTTTTTTTCTTAAATATAATGTGATATTTATTGCATGATACAAAGCAATTTCTAACTGTATAGGAAATTATTTTCTTCTTTGTTTCACCTTTAAATAACTTCTTTTTACAGCTGCACACAATATTTGAAGATCGATC